AAATGGTTCCCTCCCCATATAAATCCTTATTTTGAAAAGTGGTTACATGAATCACTGTATTAAGCGAAGTTTTCTAAGGTATTTCTAAGGTGGGCCGTGGTTCGCTATTTTTTCTCTTTTTTTTTTCTTTTTTCTATTTATTTATTAAGTTCGGAACAATCCGAATCACAAGTAAGAGAAATTTTAAAAGTTATTTATCGAATTTGGGCCACGTGGACTTCTGTATCCATACTTTGCGGGAACTTTCAATGTTTATTGATGAAAATTATGCTGCATTCGGCTTTATCTGATCAAAGGTTGGACAAGTCAGATATAAATTTTTACGGTTTGTATTTATTTCTATAAATGCGCACATTGATAAAAATGACCCTGAACTTGTGCTTTTGTTGTTATATCTTCCTTAAAAAGACGAACACTATAAAACCTGATTAAATTGTGATCACCAAACCAAACAAATTGTTGTTGTGTTCATTTTTTTTTTCCAACTCGTGAGCTATTGTTATTATGTATGTAGCTATCTTGATTATTTATTCATTCACAGGCATTTATTTGTGTATGCACGTGCGCGTGTGTGTGTGTGTGTGTGTGTGTGTGTGTTTGTGTGTTTGTGTGTGAGTTAATATTTTGTCGTATGTACTTTACAAAAAGTCATGACATCATATTTCAAAACATTATATCCAGTTGCGCTTTCTTCCAATGCCTCTTCTTATGAAGAACTTCATGTTAACAGACATACTAAAGAAAAGTTCAAAGGAACACTTGTGCGTTTTCAAATTTTATCGTAACTGATTTATAGCAGGAATTCTTGGTTTGGTCTCTTCTTTTTTTTGTTTTTGGGGCGATATGTTGTTGAATGGAGTAATTTAATACAACGTTTAATACATTTGAGTTTCTGAAAAATGAACAGAACACAAGAGATCAATCACAATAGCGAGACATATCCCTAAGCAGCTGCTTCTTATTTCAACTTTCCTTTTGCCTCGAAATTCTTTTCCCTGAAGCAAAAAGAAACAAAAGGACGACCAAAAATCGTCAATGCGTCTAGACTTGTTTGTTTCATCGAAGAATGACGTTCTTCTAACTTCATTATTTCATTCGATACAATATGCCAAGAACTTTGTAATTCCTAAGCACTTCAGAACAGTTTAAAGGAGTTGTCCACGTTTAAGATAGGATCCATAAGATGCATCTCAGTATGAACTTCTTTTAGAAATTTTGCTCAATAGAATTCTGATCGGCTGATAGCAACAAGCGCAGTAAGAAATTGGAAAGAAAACTCGCAGAACCAAATCATCCCAAAATATCTCTGTCAAGCAGCGAACAGATATTGAAGGAGAAGTTTGGATGTGCATTTAAAAGAGATTCGCTCATGAATTTAATTTACAAAAACAACTAAAAAAGGGCAGCCAATGTCAAGCATTTCATCATTGCCAGGCATCCTAAAAGAAACTTTGATTCCTCAATGCACTTTATAAAAAAGAGTAGAAAACCTGAAAGAAGCAGTGGATTGACGATGGCGACATGGCAAACATCAACGATTCCAAGCCGTGTTCACTCAGTTCTCAAACTCGTGACCAGTTACGCCAAAATCTGCACAAGCAAAGAAATCTAGCGATGAAATAGTTTTGAGACGACATCCCAACAGTTTGATCTTACCAAGCAGAATGGCAAGGCGGCACTTTACTGCAAGAAACTTTCTGCTGAGACGAAACCCACGATGGGTGCCATTTTGGTGTAACGATGATAGGATCTTAAACGATCTTAAAACGATCACTTGCTTCTCCATGACTTGTACAACTGAAGCGACAACGGCGCTAAAAAGTTCTTCAGACCAAACTAGCAAACAGTGACTTTATTGTCAAGTATCATATCGCGAGATAATGAAGTACTCTTTCAATTTGGGTTGCTTCAGTAAAAGGCACTTAATATAAGCTAATAAAAGGGCCTTTGAAATTGCGATCACTCGGTATATAGAGTTTAGTAGCAAGCGACAGATAGTGAGCTGCTAAAGGTGGTTCGAGGGGTGGAGGCTCACGTAATGTGTGAGTTTGGTGTCAAGCAGTACATATTACAAGATGGTAGCAAGGACTTTGATGGTGTGATCACTGGCTACAGGCGATTTGCTACCAAGCATTATATTATAAACTGCTCTCCGGAATTGTGATAACTCCGCAAAAATAGATTTTATATCGAGCAACGCACAAGCTGGAAATATATTCTATAAAATTGTGGTCACGCCGACCAAGCATGATATTACGATCCGGTAAAGGCAGAGTGCTTCAAAGTTGCGATGACTCGATAGAAAAACTTTGGGATGTCAAGCATCAATCCATCATCGTAAAGTGGCGAAGTGACTTTGCGCTTAACCCTCTTGAAGGGAATGTCCCAAGGATTGAAAGTATAAGTGAAATGGTGTAGTGGCGTCGGACTTCTCCCTCTTGAAGGGAATGTCCTAGGGATGGAAAGTGTAAGTGACACGGTGTAGTTGTACGACGTGACCGTCATTTGCTTAAAACTTCGCATTTTGCATTAGATTTGTTGCGATTATGACAAATTAGAACGGATAACATCGCTGAGGAAATTTAATGAAAATAAACAAAGGCAGAGACGGAAAACGGGCAGACATGACGTTAATAACGGACATGGCAGAGACGCAAATTATTACCAAGTGGATTAATTAATAAGTTAAAGAATTAATAATAATTTGCAAAAATGGAGATAATAAGTGTGTACAGAGTACATTGTGAATAAGCTACAAGTCCTAAATTTTACTAACTTATCTGGATTTAATTGTCCATCAGTCTAACTCTTATCTACCGTTTACATCGATAGATGATTTTAAAAAATTGAAATTTAGCAGAGAATAATCGTATTACTTAGGCCTATAACTTTTCGAGGATTTTTTGAAATAGTTTTGGTGACGAGACCAAAAATAAAATCGACAACTGAAGCACCCCTCCCTTTACCAAGTCGATCTACAATTTAGATTAATCTCTAATGAAGGCTCAAAATAATAAATGTCCTCTTTGGTTTTTAATGAATAAAATCTAGAGTAGCGGATCAGCGGTTCGGTGCAATTCGTACAATTCTTCCATGTTAAGTGTCTCTAAAATTTATGATGTTTTTTTTTAATTTTCAGGTTTAACCTTTTTTTTTGAAACGCAATCTTAATAACATCCGTTTTTTGGTTTTTTTTTTTTTGCTTTTTGTTTTCGTTATGTTAGTTAGGTAGACGAGATTACATTTTGAAAAGTGAGCTGAAAGAAAATCAAAGTGTATATGAAATTCGTACCCCTTTTTGTCTTACTTCGTTTTTGTCCACATTTGCTTGATATTATTATTTATTATTATTAAAGTTTCTGTCCTTTTTTTAGACCTTTCTTTTTTCTTTCTCTCTTGCCTTTCGACTTGCATATGCTGTATAATCGTTGTTCTTCATCTTGAAGCCAACGACAGTAAAATAAATTACAGCTTAAATAAGGTTGCTGGCCTGCTCAACACTTAAGATAAATTCAAGACCTAGCAAGTGTACATATTCATACGTATATATATATACCTTATCATTCATACTGTGACATTCACTCGAGTACGTTTAAATTTTTATTCTGATATTGTCACAGCCTTCACATAAATTGACATAGAAAATACGAGCTTTCAATTGAAAATATTATTGATAGAGAACGCATTTATCCTAAAATTACAAATTCCATCTCCTTTCAACATACAAAAAAAGAAAAAAGAAAAAAAAAATTACAAATTGATAAGGCAAACGCTCGGCTAGGACGAAATCAGTATGGTTCGTTTCGTAGAATGAAAAGTTTGAGAAGATTCATCTTTAATACTAAACCCACTAGACGGCTAACCTAAAAAGCAGTAATAGTACCACGCGTACTAATCAATAACAACTACAATTGGTGATCCCGGGCGAGATGCAGAATAGCGAGGAAGTAGACCGATATGGCAGCACAGAGTTATGGTTCGTAGAAGTCAAGGCAATCTTCTGGGTGAAACTTTGACCACATCATCAACAACTCGGACCCAACAACGTTGCCTTAAAATAGTATTGATAGTACTCGGTACCATTCCTAGTCTTGAAAAGAAATGCAAACTATTTTATAATAAGAGCAAAGGATACCAAGGAGGAAACAATTCCCATCGATTGACTTACACACGGATTTCTAGAGAACCAGCAGAACTACCATTCATCACACCATTGAGCCATAACCATCAAAACATGGATATTGCGGCGCAAATGGATGCAGAGACTTCTATACCAGTTTGTGTACAACAACAACAAGTTGGTAAAGCAAAAGGTGGATTTTATGCATAAAAGTGAAACGACGAGACCTAAATTTACTAAATTCCGGTTTTGTTGCCAAACATTATTTAAAGACTTTGGTGCGTTACGTTTACGCACTCATGTTCACGAAGACATATTAAATATTAAGACACTATAGAGGATTCCTACTCATGGGAATATCTATACTGAAGCGGGATTAAAGTAATTAACCCATCCGTTCCAAATTTCTTACAGAAATGAGGCATACCGAGAAATTTTGAAAATTGTAATATCTTTTTCCAAGAAAAGGGCGTTCCGCGGATTGGTCGCAAAAATTTACTCCATTTTCAAAAGATTTCGTCCTTAGGCCGTCATAAAAATATAACGAAAACTGCGACCTGAAGGTTGAACACAAAACTTCGTGGGCAGACCTTAAACGGACAGAGGGACAAACATGCTTAAAAATGGATTCAGAAATCAACCAATTCTGAATCGATCGATGGCTCTATCTTAAGACCTTATGGGTGCTACATTCGCAAAAGCATAGTCCTGTAGCACAAGTAGTAAAAGGTATCAAAATATGAGTTGATTCTGTTAAATAACTTTTTCGATTGTGGACCATAAGTTTTTCAGCTATAAAATAATCTTCGGAGAATTTTTAATTTCTTTCCTGTACTAATAGTAACTTGTACTCTTTTTGCCCCTTTTTTTTAAGACTTACCTGTATTTTCTTTTGTACCCAATTGTAAATGCCTTGATAACGATGACGACGATGAAGATGATGATGGCGAGGCTGCAATAAAATCTGTCATATCGCCATCATTTTCTATACTTGTTAAATCCCTGGCAGCTATTGATGCTGCCGCAATAGTAGATGATAACGATGCTGATGATGTTGATATATTGTGATGCTGATATTGGTGCTTCTGTTGGTGTTGATGATGCGTATGATGGCGATTCATATACAAATCCGCAATACTACGTGTTTGTTTATTGTGCACCGATGCAGAAACACCACCATGAATAGGATAAGCGCATGTTTCACACAATATCGTCAACATTATAATGAACACTGATGATGAGCTAAAGCAATATTGTAAATTGCGTTGAATTTGTGATTTTAAATTTGTGCACTCTTTGTAATTGTTATTGTTATTATTATTATTATTGTTACTATTATTGTTATTACCATAATTTATATTATAATAATTTTTCCGCGTTAAAAATAATAAAATTATAATAAACTTTCTAATTGGTGTGAGAAATTCCTCAAACAATGAAGGGTTAATTGCATTGAAAGGCCAACATTGAGGCATTTGATAAAAGGCCATATTTGCATGCCACGATGATAAGCGTCGAAGGGAGGCCTAGTCTATGAAGACTATTGCAAGAAAAAAAAATGCACCACACAACAGTCAAACAGCACAATATTTCTTACGACGACGACCACGACGATGACGATGACGACGACGACGAAATTTGAAATTTTTTCAAAGCTGAGAAAAACGAAAAATAAAACTTTTTAGTTTGATTTTTATTTCTTAATATTTTCTTTTGTTTTTCTTCCTTTCTATTGCAAGCATTCGCGTGACGCTCTTAATTATCAATCCGTAAGCGATCTTACTGTCATCTGTGCGTACGTATGTCTGTTTTCAATACTTGCTGGCACGAATTAAAAAACTGCATTTGATAGGCGAGCATGGTGCTCTTCTACAGCCCTCTCTGTCTCTCTCTTACTCTCTCTCTCTCTCTTACACTCTTTCTGTGTGTTCTTTGCACAGATGTGTGTGTATGCATGTTCTTTGACGTTTCATTTGATAAGTCTTTGTAAACATTTAAACGCATTTTAAGCGTATGGGTGAATGTAAGACTAATATTTAATTAAATTTTATGCTGTTAACAAATTATGCCAGCAATTATATAGATAATTGGGGCAACTGCAACAACAAAACATTTACTCTAGACTAACTACAATGGAACTAAGCAAACGTTACAAGCACCCACACCACACATGCGATAATCAGATCTAGCAAAAGACAACAGAAGTCAGTTATAAGTTAAGTTATAAGTGTGCTGAGAGATGTTTTATTCGATCAATTGACTCGTAATCATAAGTTCAGTACACAAATGTCGGATATTTCGAATAATAACAAAAAATTTTCAATTGACATACATAAAGTGCATAGAGAAGAAGAAGAAGATAAAGAAGATCAGAAAGGAATGCGAATTAGTGTACGGTCTCTGACAATAATTTCGAAAACATGATCTGGAACGAAAAGAAGGGAAATTCCACGTTTATTATTATTATTATTATTATTAATAATGACACATGTCCCCAATCTGTCAGATTTTTGTTACTTTAAACCATTTGGTTACAACAACATTTATTAAGGCCATTGCATTCGTGACAACGAAAAGAACAAAATATGCTAAATGAAGAAAATTGGAAAAAGACTTTTACAGAAATTTACTTCAATTCGATTAATTTAAGATGACAATTTTCCCCATAACAGATCTGTCATAAGCCTTTTATGAAAACACATTGTTTGAAAGCTGGCAGGTTTAATGCGTCAACTGATCTTCTTAATTACGAAATATGGAATAGGCCTTTCAAGGCGTTGAGATGTCTCTCAGGAGCAACACAAAGGCAGAGCTAAAGATCTTTGCAAAGTTCACACCGCTTAGTCTTAGTGGCATAGCTTTGGTAAAAATTTTCCACTGTTTCCTTCGAATACGAACCGTGAAAAGATATAAGACCATTAAACCTCGACTCATTTGTTTTAAGAACATTTGAATTGGACTGAGATAATCTTTTGCTCGTGAAGGCCCGCCATGAGGATTACCTATATCGGACAGTGCAGTCAGAAGTATCAAATCATATCAAAGTTAAAAAGAAAGTCCTAGAAGTCTTGCCAGACAAGTTATGACAACTGAAATATTCAAAACTGATTTTTTAATTTTCGCTAATCCTTTTTCTTTTTCAAAATGAAGACCGTTTCTACGCATGTTTTAGACATTTCATGTAACTTATATTTTCTTAATCGGATGCTGGATGGATTTAATCTGTCTAATTACTACCAGTTACTTGCTTTGTCTCGATAAACGAGGTAGGAAACTATAATATCTGCACTTTTAGTTAGGCGCGAATGAAACGGAAAAGTAAGCACGAAGGGCACGTAACAGGATCCACACAGAAGTCAAATTTCAAATTTATGGAAAATTCGTCGAGAACGTTGGCAATAAGCAAACATCTATGACTTGCTGCCAGAAACGGAACTTGATTTGAAATCTGGCACAGGCGTTAGAGTTTCTTTCCACATAAGAGCTTCCTTTCCTTATAGAGCTATGTGATCCAAATCCTCTAAAGCCAATTTTTTTGCTCAACGAGCTAATTAACCAGTTAATTAAAAATATTAAAAATTGAACCTTTTTCCGAAGGATTTACACAGTATAAAACATGGATCTATCTTAAGCCCTTCTGCGTGTTACTTACATCCGCACTAACTTAATACATCCTGTATCACAAGCGGAGTAGAATACAAAAATAAAGAATAAACAATACGAAATGAAAATTTAATAACTGCATCGAAAGTATCGTTGAACAGGCAGCATCTCGTTGTACTATACCATTATAATTCAGAAAAATACAATACACATATTATTTGTAATTTTGTTTTTCCTATTATCCACAATGCAATGCATAATATTGAAACATTATTAACGTTAATTAGCGTAATAAACGGAAAAAAAAGAAATATTTCTCACTATCCAGAGGATAAAACAGATTTTCGTGCGCTAACGGCACTGACAGAATAAATTATTCATGAAATCTTGCAAAGCAATTTAGTAGAGCCCATAAGACAATTTGTCGAATACAAAAAAGTGGTACGAACACGATAAAGATAGATTGTTATACCCTAGACAACTTGTGATGCAAGTTTGTGCAGATGTGTGCGACATCTGGAAGAACATCCAGAAGATAGATTCAATTTTTATTATACCGATCGATTCAAAATCCTTTTTTGCCTCTCTAAATGTCAGTCCATCTTTCTCTCGTTCTGTTCCACTTACAGATCACAATTTTTGAAATATTTTGACTAATTCCATATACCTAAGGAAAAACGCTTTTTAAAACGATTCGGATCGGAGCATTTTATTTTGAAAAAGTCGTTGTATGAATAATTGTAGGCAAGTGTAGAGTGTCTAATAGTCAGCCATGACCCAGTTTAGTGTTTACACTGGATGAATTCACATGTAACTGCTGTAAACAACATGTAGAATCTTGTCAGAATTCTGCCAAATTACAAATTTTAATATATTATTATTGTTATTAACTTTAATTTTGATACCTATCGAAACAAAAAGGATATATTAAGTCTAAGTCTCCATTTTTGTGTGCATGGGAAACTATGCAGGTATATACACATTTCTAATCAACCTAACTACAATTGTCTGTCCGTCTTGTCTGCCTATTGGTTACTTTATGGACTTTTATTAAAGCTTAACCGGGCGTATGTAACTTTAGATAAGGAACAAGCATAGTCGTTCTCGCCCACACAGCGACACACTCTAATAAGAAACAATACACAGCAATTTTCATAGAGTAGTTGAAGATAGCGCATAAAAAACATTCTCTCAAAGCGTAGATACTTTTTTAGATATTATTTGTAGAATGTTCGTTTTAAAGCCAATATAATTATTTTATTTGTTTTAATTTGTTTTTATTTTTCCAAGTTAATTGCAGCATAGTAGCCTTTAATAGCAGCTTTTCGTTTTTCGTTTCAAAGGAAAATAATATAATCACGATTTCAAGAAGGTAAACAATAATAATTCGAAGAGAAAATTAACACAAAACTAGATTTATTTTATTTTAATAACGCATTTCCGTTAGACGCGCAAAAGTGGTTAACAAAAACAAATTGTTTGCAAAAATACATCAAATTTATTTGAACATTTCGTGATCTAAAAAATATTAAGCTCATATGATATTAAAATTCATACTTTCATCTAATTTTTTTGGTATTGTAACAACACTGCGACATTTTTAAGATATCATAACGGATAATTTTACACAAACTTCGCGACTGAATTCTTTCAATTAATAACTGCATGGTATCCTCATTCCACTTCATTTATTTAAATAAATTTTTTTTAAAAAAGCAAGAAAATTTGATGATTTTTACCTCCTTTTTGCAAAATTGTTGTTAAAATAATCCAGAAGTGGATTTTACACGCAACAATTGTACACACTTCACAAATGCTTCATTTAATACAAATATTAAATTAAAGGAAATTTCTTCCACAAATTTGAACTTTATGTTTTTGTTATTAATTTTTCTTAATTCATTCATAATTGGCTTTTTCTTTCCTTTTTTTTATTTATCAACTCATGTTCTTCTTGCTGTTTGTAAACAAAACTGCTTCTTCTTAATAATTTACAGTTATTTTTACAAACACGCGAAAACAGTCTCGACATCTGAAACTCGCAAACGATCGAGAGAAACTCGTAAAACATTAAATTAAAATTGTACTTAGCAGCTCAACTACTACTCGGTTCGAATCGAACCAGTCAGCTGTTTGATTAAATATAAATGCAAAGCTCTATGAGTGGTGCGTATGTAAATTACTAAACAGTCAATATGTTCAATGTGTTTTCTTTCGTTTTGTTGTTGTTCATATAATTATGTGAAAATACTATTTTCAACGTCTCTCTCACATTTAAAAAGAGCCAAAACGTGCGGAGTAATTAAACTCTTTTGGTAAACTTATTAACATGTTCTCAAGTATTTTCTTCTCTTTTCTGAGAATAACACTTAATTTACTGTATATTAACTAAGTTGTCACATACTGTAGTTGCCAAAGTTAGCTATTCTATCCCTATGTTTTCATTTTTGGGAATTAAAAAGTTAGATCATATAAAAATGCTGCATTTTGTACATAACGCCCTTGCTATTTTTAAATCGCAATTTTTCACAACTAGCGAAAAACAAAAAAAAACTAAAAAGAAATTTTCTGAGGTGAACAAACAATTGTTAAAGCCAATCTTTTATGTGTGTATGAATTCGGTTTGCCACCATATAGACATGTGCATACATTACAAGATATTCCGATATATTGTATTTCCTATTGTCATTATCATATTTCTTTATGCAAGCACACATATAAGGTGGGATAATTTAGATTTGTCAAATCATTTTATTCATTATAAACATATTTTGAAGATGTATTTTGAATTGATCAATGTAAATACAGATAATGATTTAACAATACCTTTATACTTTCTGTTTTCACGATGACAGCTTTTAAACCTTATAGAAAAAAAGAAACAAAGTTTATTTCAAATAATTTTTTGCTTGCTCTCATCGAGTGGGTTTTCATTTCCTGCTGAATGTGCTATTAGTATGATTTTTCCATGTTATTTACAGCTAGCACCGTTAGCAGTAAATTGCCGACAAACAGTAAAAATTATGATTTCAGATATTATACATTATATATTCGATGTGTTTTAAAAGTTTCAAATTGCATTTGGGTTTACAATATTAAAATACTTTTGTTTTTGGACATAAATGTATAGGTAAACGCATCTTTTAATGTGAAGTTTGTTCAGTGCAGTTTAGCATTCATTAAAAGTTTATATTAACGTGAAGATGTATGACCCGATTATACTGATGATATAAAATTCAATTTGCTTTTTTAAATATCCTTAAAGTTTATACTTTAACTAAGAATGTGCGTTTATATAAAAATGTGCGTACAAGACTTTTAATTGTAATGTAGCCCACGTTTACTTAATTCACTATTGAGAGTATTTATAAACAACTTCAATATTTCAGAGAAAACCCTTGCAAAAAAAACATGTGTTGCAAAAATTTAACTCTCCCATGACAGCTTCTACATCTTATTATTTATAATACCAATTTCCAACATTTTTCTGCATTTAATTAAAGAACAAAGTAAAGATCTGCTAAAATTTATACCGTTTATGAAAAACTACAATAGCTTCGAAAACACAAAATTTAATGGAAGTACATAAAACTGTTTCACATACTCCATTTGGCATCAAATCAAGTTATTCACAAAAAAAGGCACTATAACTAATGGCACAAAACACAAAAAATGGTAGGTATACGGAAATATACATATATATATATATTACAGCAAGAAATGGCGATTAACCCTTCATTTCGCACTTAAATTTAAAACTGTCTTATTTAAGCCTGTTTAGAAGGAACATTCAAAAGAAATTTCGAAATATTCTCACCACAGCCTGCACCCATGTTGGAACAGGTCGAGTGGTTATTTGACGCTCAGCCGTAGAGGAAAGACTGAAAAGACGTTCGTTTTCGGCTTGCAAACGTTCGCTTAGATCCTGACTAGTCGTTATTAAACAAATTTGTGTCTCCAAATCTCGATTGACGGAACGCTCACCGAAATTCGACGAACCGATTAAAGTTAAATTAGGCAATGAACAACAGGGCAAATAATACCACAACCCTTTCGCGTGATAAGTCCAACCCGGTTTTTCATATTCGAAAAAGTTGACGCGATGATTTTGTTGACCACGCACCAAACTTTCATAGAAACTTTTTGCTATTAAAGAATAAGCGGTAGGAATACTGCCAGCTGGCCCTCGAGCTCCTTGAAAACCATTAGCCTTGAAATATTGTGATTGTAAGCTATAAATAATTTTCATAATGAGTGGAAAAATCTTACATTAGGATGCGCCATTAATATCGAACATTTCGCTAGACATTTATGAGTTAAGGTATCCATGTATTCTTGGGTTAAATTAAAATAGCCTGTTGCTAGTTTTAAACGAGAACCAGCCACACAGTTCGATAGCAGTCTTTTCGTCACAACGCTGTCGTGATGTATCCCAATTTGCCCCATTTCTATTAATGGGAATATCCACGTGTCAGCTTTTACACAATTAGATAAAGCTTTCTGCTGATTTTTATAGGCATCTTGCATTAAGTCCATGATTCGTTGCTTAGCTTTTTCCGTGAATTCTTCTTTTGTGCCTTCGTATGGTAAAATTTTCCATTTGTGGTGCAAACCCACCTCAGAATCTTTACGCACTGCCAAACTAAATTCTTGCACACGGGAAATGAACTCTGCATAGAAATCCGCTAAAGCCTTATCTTCAATAAGTATATAACGATCTTGTCGATTTGTAAAATAATCATTCGACAGGTTGGCTCCTGATATAAGTACAGCATCGTCGAATAAATATATTTTCATATGCTGCAAACCTAATAGCTCATTCCAACGTGGAGGTATCCAACGTTTAGTCATGCCCCTTAGATTAGGGGTGTGATACAGACTTAATTGCATTTGCTCACCGAAATCTTTCACTAATGGCATAAGCATTGTCTTGGAATTTATTTCTCCACGAGTACCGCGCGTAAAATCCAAAAGTACATTCACTTTTAACGTTGATTGTTGTTGCAAGCTTTTTCTAAGTATCTGTACGAAATTACTTTCCAATTGTCCTGTACCCAAATATAGACTAGCCAAGAAGATACGATTTTTCGCTATTGAGATTCTTTCCACCAGGGTATCGTAAAAATGTGTCGGCTCTTGTATGACCTGAATTTGATCATTTCTTAACGGGAAACAAGGTGCCACATTGTGCAGCCAGGCCAAGCTCTCTAGTCCGGCGGTAGAGCTATTAAAACTTTGATTTAAAACTTGTGGTGTTTGTTGTATGTAACCAATCAAATCACTTGGTTGAGGTTCAACGAATGATGAAAACAAGCGTCTTAAAAACATCTTTGGTTATTAAAGCTATGATTAAAGGAATATACCCAAATTCTATAAGCGTAGCAATAATTTAGATTTTAATTTTTTTTTCTTTTTCACGCTTAAAATCACTACGACTTACTCATAACAAAATCATAAAATTCAGATGAAGACTGATAAAATAATATTTATTGTTAACTATAACTCAGAGTTGTTAAAAAAAATCTTAGGTTGCCAAGCCTTGTAAAGCGTTTTATGCGATAAACAAAATCTCTTTTTAACAGAACTTCTGAAATTGAAGTGTTGCATATTTTACTAAATTCAATATAAATGAATAATTAATATTTTTTCTATGAAAATTCCATCCACTTACTATATGTATATTTAAGACTTCACATACAATTTTTTTTTTCGCAGTTCCTTTTGATATTTGAGTGTAATCTATTCAGCATTTAGTTACAGAAAGAAATTAATTTACACTTTCGATTGGCATCATTTAAGGATTGTTATAAATTTTATTACAGCTCTAAGGCATATGCAATTTATTATAATGTTGACAACTTCATCATGAAAACCTAACAGATGTTTCGGCATAACACGTGCTCATAAACAATAACAAAACTGAAACTATCCATACTCTGCAAACATAAAGCTAAGAAAATAAATTTTAAGTGCATTGGTTAACTTTAATAAAATAAGCGACTTTTGTTATTGACTTTCGAAAAACGCGTTTAATTACAAAAAATGAAACGTTTAAGTGACGAAAGGGCGAAAATCCTATTCGAAAAACTTGCAAAATAGTAAGTAAATGTTCGCCGATATTATGTGAAAAAGGTTTCGTGATAAATTATTTGATATTTTTCAGCATTGGCACAAACATTAAACAATTAATTGATCGACCCGATGGCACCTATTGTTTTCGAGAACATTTCGATCGTGTTTACTACGTATCAGAACGTATACTAAAAATGGCTGAATCGTTTGGTCATAAAAAGTTAATTAGCGTTGGCACTTGTTTTGGCAAATTCTCGAAAACTAATAAACTAAAAATTCACATTACAGCCTTATATTATTTGGCCCCATATGCTCAATATAAAATTTGGCTAAAACCATCATTCGAACAACAATTTCTTTACGGAAATCATATACCGAAATCGGGTTTGGGTCGTATAACAGAGAATGCCGGACAATATCAAGGTGTTATGGTTTACAATATGAACGATTTGCCGTTGGGCTTTGGTGTGTTGGCACGTTCTACTACAGATTGCAAAACAGCAGATCCCTTAATTACTGTTTGTTTTCATCAATCAGACATCGGGGAATATATAAGATCGGAAGACACACTATTTTAAAAATTGTATAGATAATAAGTAATTATTAGATAAGTAATTAATTCAAATGAAATTAACAAATTTTGATTTCTGAAAATGTACTTGAGTGTTGAGTCTTATTCTTATAGAATTGTCTTCTTTGATTATTCAGAAGTGTGAGAAGCATATTTCTTCATTTACGTTTGACCATAACGCAACCCACCCTCAAATAAAACATAATAGAATAAAATGTTACCGGAGTTATAGATCTGTAGGAAAAAGGTTTTTCTCCCAACGTCTACAACAAACCAAAAAATAATAACTAATTTCTAGCTTGAAATTTATAACATTTATATGAGAGATAATCTGTTTCTGTAACGTGAAAACTTTGTAAAGCAAATTGGGTGAAACTACAATTCTTATCGCGAGATGGTCATCAGCTGATTTAAGAGTTTCGCCAATTTGAACTTATAGTAAAAATGTTCATAATAGAAAATAGTTTTTCATAAAAGTAAACTATGTTGTTATGTTCCCTATGCTAGAATAAGGTGAGAAGGGTTTCAATTTTAAATGAAAAATCCTGTAACAGCATAGATCATGAATCTTTTCCTTTTAATTATTTTTATTTATTAGTCCCGATGGAATTTACATTTAATTTACAAATGAAAACTGAATGTAAACAAGCAAGAAAGTTATATTCGGCGGGGGCACAATCTGCGCATTCCGCATTCTACTTTCCAAGTTATTTTATTTGATACCCATATAGCTAGGTATTATTAAGAAAAATTTAATCGCGATGTCTACCGTATTCATTTTAGAATCAACCAATTTTTAGGCAGATAATATATTTTCATTTGAAGAGTGCAGAAAATACCATTAAATATTCTGTCTTGGTTTCCTTATGATAAATAAGCGTAAAACCCCAAGAAAGTGAAAAAATAAAATTTACTTAATGGTAACTTTCTATGGGCATGGCCGATTTTTTCCATTTTTGGACGTGAAGAGTACAGTGTCATATTGACAAAAATCGAATTTTTTAATTGTCCACTCTTTAAAATAAAACATAAAGAAAGAAAAAATATTAATAAAAATTGTTTTTTTTTTTTGTTATAATAGTTAATTAATTAATTTCGTTACCTTCGATGTTAATGCAATTTTTTAAATTTAACGCACATTCGCCACGTGCAGAAGTAGTCGCCGGAATCTTTCATAGCGATAAAAGGCCGTATATGCATGCAAAGCCATGAGTAGTAAACAAATCACGGGAACACCAAACATTGTAAAAATTATGTTTCGTTGTTCAAACTCCCCCTTTAAAATGGTCAGAAAATTTTCTCTCTTCTTCGAGCGACTTACGCAATTAATTAATGCAATAACACTAAGCTATTTAAAAGCGACGACAAATTTATATAAAGAAAACTTACACGTGATGCGGTTTTATTGAACGTTTCATTTAGTGGAAAAACAGAACAAAAAGAAGGAAAGAACATCTCTTCTTTGTTTAATAAAATCGGTAAAACAGATAACTAACATATGATTTATGCGTACTTATCAGTTAATTGTATGTGTTAAATTAAATTAAAAATCTATTGCTTCTAATTACTTTGCATAAGAGCACTCTACTAGCAATCAATGGTGAGCCCATACGATACCTCACACATGACCACCGTGAGATTTTAAGGGGTTTAGATGAAAAGTGAATTCGATTTCGTGCCGATTAAGAATTTCACTTAGGTTCACTTAGACCGGCAAAAGCCGGCTTATCAACCGAGAACATACGACCGTATGAAATAACCTCCCGGGAAGGTAAAATTTTTAAAAGTTTTTTTTTAGCTTAGGATAATTAACCGTATCTTATGCCTTGCCAGAACAAAAAGAAAATCTAAGCAACCAAATAAATTATTTTCTGTTTGAAAAAATAAGCGAGTAAAATATTCAGATTACATTATGGACAGATTATAGAACATATGAATCAATCGGTAAATTATACAATATATGATTGCAAATTGATTCCTTGTTTAGCTAAATTCGTGGTGCTAGGTTCAAAACCGAATTACACAGTCATTCTGGACATATATGAATTAAATGAGCCGTAGGTGATTTCAATGGACGCTTGCAGGTTTTTTAAGTATTTTTAAAAATTTACACACAAATGTACACAAGTAAATATCTGAGATGTTTTAATAATGTTGCTCAGAGATTTAGAACGCCCTGAGATAGCAGTTTATAATGTTGAGGCTCATTCCACTATTGTAAATTGTAAATTGTAAAAAAGAAAAGAAAAGCCACAATATGCTTTATTTTTTTATAAACGGTTTATTTATTTATTTATATGCTTTATTCACTTGATGCACTACTACTGTTGTTTTTGTATTGTAAATTGTTATCGATAGTCGTGACGGTTCGGTCAAGGTGTGGGATACACTTCAAAATTCTCCTGTCGTTGATATAACGCCTGGTGATCTGTGTTTAATTAAAAATTTAATTAAGAGTGAATCGGAGTTTTTTAGAACATACGATCTCCATCACTAATTGAACTCTGGCAACTCTAAGGTAATATAAATTTCCAATGACAGATGCTGATCAGATGACAGAGTGAAAAAAATTTCGAATACTATCGTTTTTATTTTTTATTTTACAAAAAATCAAAACAAATAAGTTAAGGGAAAAGTGTAAAAAAACCTAAAATAAAATTATTGTTAATAAATTTCAAGACCATGTACAGGACTATCTACAGGTTAACAGTGTTACTAACAATATTGACGCAAGCAATAAAAATAAAAAGAGGTATATAAAAGTCAAACGTAACGCAACACGAAAAAAAACATTTTTTTGGAAAAGCAAATTGTAATATTTACAAATGAATGTGTGGTTTCTTCGCAATAGCATTTTAATAACATTACATTTATAACATTACATTTGAGCCGATAGCCTGTGTTGCTAGTGCTCAATGTCTTTTTTTAGTCTAAGAATTCATTTCATTAGTCTAAAATTAAAATAATAATAATAATAATAAACATTACATTTATGAGCGAATATTTTTTTTGATTTTTTTTAGTATACGGAGAAAGATTACGGGACAAAATTTACGTGCCTATTAACGGAGCAAGTTGTTTTCGCCGTTTGAATGGCACCCATCAAGTAGGATGCACATGTGAGTTGTTTTTACTTCAAAGAAAATTGAATTTTCTTAGTTTTTGTTTATTTTTATTTTTTTTTAGCCACTCAATCTGGTTCTGTGGGTGCTTTGCATTTAATTGAAGAAAAATCAGATTTTGATTTTCTTTTAAGAAGTCTTTCCGCCCCGCCTTATGCTCCTATGATACCGCCTTACCTCTTTTCACGTGAGAATATAATGCGCTTAAAGAATGAAGGTGGTCGTAACATTTCAGTGGTTTTGCTCATCGATTCTAACACCGACAAAATGACAAATTTCTCACACGAGTTGCAGTGTCCTAACCAGTACAGTGGAATATTCTTGCCAAACAGTAGCAGTACAGAATCGCCCACATGTGGGGCGAATAATCAAGAAGGAACTTGGAACCCTTGGGGCACCGGTTTGTTATACGAAGATTTACCGTTTCCGGTTTATTACGTGCCCGATCAAGATGAAATCAAAAAACTTATTAAATGCTTTGAAGACTTTAATAATTTTGATTACGCTTCACACTCTCGTAGATCTCTTTGCGCAATAGAGGTGAACACATTTATGTCGGCGGCCGTCAGTACTGAAGTATGCATGAGACGCACGAAATTTATAAATAACTTAGGGCGTACGCGTTACTGTGACCCATTGGAGGGTAAAAATGTCTTTGCCACTCTCTTTCCACGTAAAATTGAAAACCGTCTTGACTATGCTGCTAATCAAGAGAAATATATAATGGTTACTTGTCGTCTGGATAGCACCTCAATGTTTGAATTAACTGGTGAGGTAATCATAGAATAAATATTTATTTATATTTAATTCAATATTTGCAGGTTTGGGCGCCATGGATTCGTTAATGGGTTTTGGCACTCTCGTGAGTGTTGCTCATATGTTAAAGCTACTACTGCCGGATCAATCGATATTGAAAAACCGCCAGCTGAATGTAATGTTTGTCATACTTAACGGCGAATCCTATGATTATATCGGTTCTCAAAAATTAGTATTTGATTTGGAAAATTTAGCTTTTCCCCCACGCTATACACGCAACGCACCTATAGCATTCGATAATATTGAGTTTGTGCTGGATTTAAATACATTTGACGAAATATCTTCAATCAGATTACATAGCATTAGTGAATTTCCTCAAGCTAAAGAACTTCTAAGTAAACTAAAACGGTACGGTTCCCGTAAAGAATATGATTTTAATATTGAATTCAACAGTTCGCTAGGCTACGAGATGCCACCTAGCTCTATTCAATCATTTTTACGTAAAAATACTTCATTTCCTGCTTGTGTATTAAATGCTCCGCCGACAAATCGTTATTATCATTCGATTTATGACGACGAGGTTAACATAAAATTTCATTATGCTAACACTTCGCGGGATTACACTCAACTTATGTCAATAGATGAAGCGTTTCGTTATTTCCCGGCTGACTCAGTACAAATGAAAATTCGAAATATATCCTCAGTGGTTGCAATGGCCTTGTATGAGATGTTAACCTACGAGAATTATACATCCAATAAATTAGCTAATCCATTACTGATTGATGAATTTCTCTATTGTTTTACAATGTCAGCTGATTGTCCACTTTTTAAAGCTGCTTCAAAACCGAATAGTTTGCCAGCTTTGCAGATACCGCCAAATAGATATATAAGTGTGGCCGGAAGTCCTCAAGAGTCAACTGGTTGGACTTATCGTATTCTGGGTTATTTGTTATCGAATAAATTGGAAAATATTAGCGAAAGTAAATGCAATTACTTGCCACGTCATTGGTTTGCCGGTTTCGACGGTAAAGGTGAATGCCGTTTTACAACACAAAACTATTCTCTGGCCCTTAGCCCTGCCTTTATTATTGAAGGTATGTAAAGATGCCTTTTTTTGTAGTTATATTATCAGTATCAGCTTATTGTAAACTTTTTAGATTACAATTGGACTTCGGGGGAATATTCAACATGGACTGAATCAACTTGGGCGCCATTTAGCGCCCGTATGTTTCTCCGTCCTTCACGTTTACATGAGACAATTACTTTCTCAATTGGTTGCGTAGTTCTCGTCATCTCATTTTGTTTAATTTACATAATCAGTACAAGAGCAGAAGTATTGTTTGAAGATACCGGTCCTGGGGCCAGCACCGATGCGTAAGATATACTTTTTTCCAAAAGCAAATTTTCAAAAAAAAAAAAAAAAAAAACCATACAAGTAAACTTTATTTTTATTTTTTCTTTTACTCCCTGTCGCGCCTTTCTCTCTTCTTTTTACTATCTAATCAATACCTATATCCAGGTTAGCACCACCAACAGCTTGTTAGTGCACAACGGCACATGAAACTCTCTACAACTGCACGAAACAAGGGCAATTGGCAACTTCAGATGTGCTACAAAAGTCCAAATCTTACAAAATGTTCAAGCATAATGTTAAAAACGAAATTCTTAATTTTCTTAACATGACAACAACAGCTTTCATAACACATCTTTACTCATTAAAACTTAATCAATACTTAAAAAAGACTAAATAACCGGATAATTAGTGATTATCTGAATTTTTTTCACCTTCATATTTATTTGTACCTTTTTTAGCTTTTTCTATTTTTGATAATTACTCATAGCGTAAAAAAGAGAATTTCATCGTTTAATCACATATATTATTTTTATATATTTTCGTTTGTTTTATAAAAGTAAACCAAAAAAGTAATAAAAAAATCAAATTCATAAAAAATTGCTAAATTAAATAATAACCAATTAAAATATAATTCTAATACAGATAATAAAATAAATGAAAAGTGAAATTTCGAAACTTTTTTGGTTAAGTTAAAGCGTAATAAACTAAAGTTCGTATTTAATTTTATGTAGCGTTATGAAATTGTTAGGAATTGCTAAGTTTTTTTATATACGTATAAACATAAATATACATATATGAGTTTTGTAATAAGAATAATATTTTAATCAAATTTATTTAAATAAACATGTTCAGATATAAAAGAAGCATTTTTGCTCATCATTTGCTCATCAGCTAAGAATAAAGGGCATATTATTCATAGTGCAATATCGGGATGGAAGGCTCAGAGACTCCATGAACGTTGCGGTCACGAAAAAGGAATAATGTGCTTAATAAAAAAGAATGAAGAGTTTTTTTTAAGCAATATTTGCAGCTATCTTCATTCTCTTAACGACCAAGCCATCGGAAAATCTAAAATATGTTTGTTAACAAATGAAATCATTTTTTTCTGCCTTTTTTTATTAAGTTCAAGTAGGAAGAAAATTTTTTATCTAATTTTTTGTGATAGGTTTTGTTTAATTTCTCAATTTTTCAGTTCGAATCACTTCTTTTTGCGCTTCTTTTATTTCACAGAGATTCATTAGCTGGTTTTTTCCTTTACATGGCTTATAAAAAAAAATACCATGTGCTGTGAATACAGAGAGAACAGAGTTGCTTTCAATAAGTGGTGGAAAAAACAATCAGTTTGTAAAATGAGAATAAGTGGTGCAAAAAAACGGAATCAGTTCTGGAAAACTGAACCAATTCTCTTAAATAAGAAGATGTGGCGGAAAAAAACGCAATCAATTCTGAAAAATGAATCATCACTATACCAATATATGTATATTTACTCTCAGGCATATATACTTATTTATGATATTGGATACGTTGGAACAGTATTTTGTGAAATAAGGGTGGATTGCCTTTTGTAAACATCCATCCATTCATCTGTCTGTCTGTTTGTAAAGATTCTTCTAGCCGTAGGAAAACTGAAACTCTGGAAATTTGGAAAAAAATTTGAAAATGACCCCAACCTCCGCCAAAGGACACGTCTGCGCCTACAACAAAAAATCATCTTTGATTGCTGAGTTTATTGCTTGTTGCCCATAAAGTAAAACAGATACACCATACAAATTTTCATTTATATTCCGAAAATAGAGAAAATCGGCCGCCTCACCCAGTACAGTAAGTAAAGTTTGAAAGAAAAACAAACATCTTAACAGGATAACGCGAAAAATAACAGATTTTATTAGCATTGCCAGCTTCGAAAGATTTCATACTTATGGCAGTTCCTTAACCAGTTCTTAATCCCTTTATTAGTTTTTGTTTATACAAATTGTATTTTTGTTTGTTATTTGGAAAAATTTCACTGTTAAGTCTTCTGGACTTTGCAGTTCAACAAAATGTCGACACTAAGAAAATAATGCAAAAGTTTACGGAAAAAGTCCACTGTGAAGAGGAAAGGCACGAGATTGTATGGGTTAAGCGAAAAATTAATGAGGAATCAAGTGACGATAAAGCCGAAAGCAATAAGCAAATAGAGACCGATAATTTGCAATTGTTTCCCATTGTTTATTCAAAGCAATATGGTGTACATTTTGCTAAATTGGAAAAACTACATCCTTTTGATGCAGAGAAAGGCAAACACATAGCTAAGGTAAACTAATTCATTCATTCGTTTAGTATGGAAGGAAAATCGATTCGACTTTCTTTTTTATAGTTACTAAACGAGGCGAAATGGATTGAAAATTGGAAATTCTACGAGCCTTTAGAAATAAGCAAAGAGGAATTGTTAAAAGTTCATACACCCGAATATTTGCGTAGTCTTAATTGGAGTATAAATGCAGCCAAAATCTCTGAGATTCCTCTACTTGCATTTGTACCAAATTGTTTCGTGCAATGCGGTTATTTGAAACCTATGCGTTTCCAAACGGCTGGTTCAATTTTGGCTGGAAAATTGGCTCTAAATCATGGCTGGGCTATAAATCTTGGTGGAGGTTTTCATCATTGTTGTTCTTATCGAGGAGGAGGATTTTGTGCATATGCTGACATCACTTTATTAATACAGCGTACATTCGCTGAGGAATCTTATATAAAAAAAATAATGATTATAGATTTGGATGCTCATCAAGGAAATGGACATGAAAGAGATTTCCTTAATAATAGAAATGTTTACATAATGGATATGTATAATGCTTATATCTACCCAAAAGATGAGCCAGCTAAATTGGCAATAGATTGTGGGGTGGAATTGCTCCCCAAAACGGAAGATGCTGAGTACTTACGATATCTTAAACGGTAAATTCGAAATCACATCCCCCTGATGTAATCAAATCATTCAAATGTTTATATTTAGTGGATTGCAATTTGCTCTTAAAGAATTCCGGCCGCAATTAGTGGTTTACAATGCTGGAACAGACATATTATTAGGAGATCCTTTAGGTGCACTCTCTATCACCCCAGAGGTTGAAATTGCAATTTTACAATTTTATATCATCTTTTTAATCAATTGTATTTACTTTCTTTTCAAGGGTGTAATCGAACGGGATCGTTTTGTATTTTCCACCTGTCGTTCAGAAAAAATACCCATTGTTATGCTATTAAGTGGTGGCTATCTAAAATCTTCTGCCAAAGTTATAGCAGAATCCATAATTAATCTTAAACATCAAGACCTCTTGACATTGAGATAAAAAAAAAAGTTTTATTTATTTTTAATGCCGAGCAAAATTTAACATTTACTATGTATGTACCTTCAGCTTTGTAAAACAAGACTGCGAAATTATTAAAGAAAAAAAAGTATAGAAAAACAGAAAAATTATTGTGTTTGATGTTCCATATAATATTTATGAAAATTTTTAACAAATAAATTCACTTTCTAAGTTTACTTGGACGATGGGAGTTTTAAAATATATCTTGCAGCATGTTAATTACCAAGTTTGTAAATGGCAATGGCAAAGATCAAGGTCATATAGTTGAGAGCAAGAGGTTTTAACTCCAGTGGCTGGCACTAACCAATGTACTAGGAAAGTTTCCTTTGCTTTGATTAATTAAATATTTGTTGAAATATTTCTAAATTAGCCGAACCAGGTGTTGAGCGCACTCATACATTTAAAACTAAAGCATTAAGGGGGGGGGAATTGAATATTTAAAAATCTTGTATAAATTACAATAAACTTGAAAAGCGTTCATTTGACATCTAAGACCGAAAACCAAAAGTAGTTTGCCTATATAAACGAAGAGTAATTTAAATGCATAGAAAAAAAATGAGTCAGTGGAACGAAAAACTTGCCAAAAATCGCAAAATTTAAAAAATTTTAAAATTTTTTTTTGAAAAAAAAAAAACTTCAGTAATTTTAAAATTCCCATTTTAATTTAAAATTATTATATTAATATAAGTTAATTTAATTATTTTTATTAATAAAAATATAATATACATGTATAAAAATTTAAAACATATAAGATTGGAATAAGAAAGGTTATTTTATTAAAAAAATTTAGTTGACTATATTAATGTAATTAATTAAATTTTATATAATTAAAAAAAAAAAAAAATGGGGTATGTTATGTTCGCATAAGAAGGTTAATTTACCAGCGGCCACCGTAGATTTGCCAGCTGTCTCCGAAAAGGATATCAACGACTTGAAGTTCGGTGTTGAAAATAATATTGACATGATATTTGCATCCGCTATGAGAAACCAAGACGCAGTTAACGAACTACGTGACATTTTAAAGGAAAAGAGTAGAGAAATCAAAATTATTTCTAAAATATATTGTTTGCAGGGACTAGGTAAGATAAGATTGATAAGATTCCGAACGCTTCCGACGGCATACTATTTTCTCGTAATGACGTTGCTATTGAAATGGTATGGCGGCGATCGAAAATTTTCTTTGCGCGATAGAAAAGGCGGTCAGTTTTCTTCTTCTGTAAAATTTTAGTGTGCATATGTTTACTTATTTCTAAACGGAAACTTCTTTTATTTAATTAGATACAACGCTCACGTGGCGCTGTTTGTTTTACTTAACACAGGCATAAAACGTAAAGTGTTAGTAATTATTCCGCTTAAAGGAAACTTGAATAGAAATTAATTTTCAAATAAATATTTATACACACCATACATCCATATGTGAATGAATTTGTTTACAAGTGTCCCAAATTTTATTTTTCCTAATTCTTTGATTACAATGAAGTAGAACGTGTCGAGAAAAGTGTACTATAGTTGGGAATTTTATAAATGTTTTCTTATCCATCCTCTGAAGTAACTTTCAAATATAAAAATAGTGTCGACGTCATACTGTGTAATAAAATCTAGATATTTTCGCATTAGAGTCGATATGAATTGATTAAAACCTTGATCGATACGTATACTGGATACTCAGTCAGCGTCCAAGAGGACTGTTGTACTGAAGAGAGTAACATTCGAGCCATTATAATTTCCTATTGACACTCAGATCCTATTGCATTTCAAACGTAAAATATCCAGATTACAGAGATTAAGTTCGTTCTCTATAGTTATTAGATCAGAAGAAGGATTAGATTAAGAAAGGCTGAATTAGCTGACCTCAACAGGAGTCATTTTTCGCAGAGATTGAAGTATCTTTAAACACTTTCGATGGACACTTTCGCCTATTACTTTTTCACCGTAAACAATGGTTATCGTATACACCACCCCCATTTGCGGTACAGCGTACATTAACCAGTTAACTTTGTATGACGCGTATGCGCTTCAACTCAAATCTGCATTTTAATGCCTTTTGCATGTCTAAGCATTATGGGAAATAAAGAATTACGAGTCGGCATCAAGAAAAGTTCAAAATTTCGTCAAATTGAAGAAATACTATAAGAAGATATTTTGTTCTTGTTCTTCTATTTCTTTCTACGATATGCTCTTCTTACATGCCATTCTGCGATTTATAAATTTTATTATTTTTTGGCAATTTTTGAATTTGCAATAGCAACACACCCGTTTCCAATAAGAAATTCTTAATTTGTTCTTAATAAATTCTTTATGCGATTCAAAGATATGAACGTCATTTTTTAGTTCTGGTTACGCCCTGCGTAAGGGCCTTCTCAAAACAATATATTGGCAGGTTACTAGTTAAATTTGTAAAGGTGCCTTCGGCTGCTTTTCAACGCTTTACCGGCAGGCGGTTTGGTCCCTGGCGCCAGCTCAGATAATCTTGCCTGCTTTATGTTATGATAGGATGACTAGATTCAATTACTTAACTCTTATGGTATTAGAGCTAAGCTAACAGACTGTTCGTATTGTCGATTAATACACATTCGGTCGGTTAGTGTCCGTGGGAAAAAGAAAAGTCGATTAATAAGCTATGGTTCGGCAAGCGTCGGCGACAAAACCCCGATTAATAGGCTCACAGTCAAAATACGTGAAAATATTAAAATCATTATAAATATTAAATATTAAATATCAAGTAATTTAATCATGTACTCTTGTAAAGGTGTTAAACTTTTATGGAAAAGATAAAAATATCTGCCTTCCTTTAATTTCAAGTAGTTTATCCATCATGCAGTACCGAAAACGACTTTTTTAACTTCAAATTTTAAATCATCTCTACTTCTTAAGATTGACTACGATATTTATAATGAGTAGAGTAATGCGTAGAGTCTATCTGCGTAATTAGCGAAGTTCCAACAATTATCGTTCGCAGTTGTTTTGCTGCTCGCAGCTATATTAAGCATGTACGTAGTAGGATGACATTGAGTGATTTGTTAAATAAAAGCCTGAACACTTTAAGCCTACAAATAAAAAAGCAAAAAATTCGATCCTCGATATATAAGAAAGCTACATATGCTTCCCGGCAAGGGAAAGGAAAATCAATGTTTGTTCGGTTTTCCCCTTATTTTTTGATCAAAATGAATGACTATTTTTTATAGATGATAAATGTATCGTTATGAAAGGTCGATTTCGATAAATGTTATCTCGCAGCGATTTTGCGATTTGTTATTTGCCGCTTTACATCACTTAATCTCCTTAAGTTTGTCCTCATCAGCTTTAATCGACCTTTTAGAACGTGGTAAACTAGTTTTTGTGCTGGTCTTCTCTCAATATATCTAATTCTTTTTGTTGCTCTGAGTATTTTATCGATAGTCAAAAACTATGCCGGCTGCTTTCGACTTTCCTTAACTCATAAGGCACCAACCAAGAGCTAGTCCGCAGAATCAAAAAAGTTTTTTCAAAAATAAGACTTGCGGCAAAGTGCCTAGCTGGTGGTCACAAATTCTGTCAGAACTCAATCATTTCTCTCGTTCATTTCAGTTTCTCCCTTCGAATTCAACTACCAGTGATTATTAATGATTCCTTTCTCAAAAAACTTTGCCATATTTTCGATATGATAATTTCAATTCCTCTATCAATTTCGTCTAACCAATCGATCCGACCACGGCCTGCAACAGCTATCGCAACGTGAGCTAAAGTTACGAACGAGTACCTCCCAGCTAGTGAAACCACAAGGTGACACTGGAGGTGGTTCGCGATCAAGGATATTTTCCAATTTACCCAAATGCTGTTGAGGCATTGTCACCAATTCAAAAAAACTGCGGGTTCTGCTATAGTAGGCATTATTGATCAAGAAACTAAACAAAAATTAAATGAAATTGAATGAAAAATGTCAGCAGAATCGTGAAATGTTTCTTTCTTTAGCAATGGATACGTCACCTCCTTTGAATTATTACACTGTTTGAGTATTACACTGTACTGCACACAATTTGCATGCATAAAGCATTATATTAGAAGTAGTCGAAAAATTTGTCAAATCCGATTTTCAAAAGCGTTCGTCGATATTGTACCAAATTGTGATTTGTAGGCTGAACGCAAGAAGACAAGAAAGACAGACGTACAGGCAAGCTTAGATCGATTCACTGAATCATTATCTGAATTGATCGGCGTAATAAAAGGTCCTTCTGAGTCTTGGATACTTCTGCACAAACTTAATAGGCAGTTATAACATAAATGGTGTAAGGGTATAAAGATTAATTGCTTGATTAAAATCGATGATACGAAGGATTTGAAGTACATAAGCGGGACCTCAGCGTTTTATTGAATTCTTAATTACCTCATATTTTACTCTATAGATATGTGATTATTTTTTTGGTCATTAAACCCGAAAAGTCTTGCCTATTGCATCGCAACGATATATAAAAGATCGTTATACAAAGAGGGTTCAAGCAAATTTTGAAAAATACTTGTTTTTTCAATTATGTATTTAAGTTTTTGCAATATGGAGGGAAGTTAAATGGTTCCACTTAGTTTTTAGAAAAGCAATTGAAATCTTCAGATATCTCAGGCATCTCTATATTTAATATCTCGAACATAATTCGTTTTTCTCGAATATAGAAATATTTTACAACACTGTCTGTAATGAACACAGCTGACATTTGTATTGATTTTTGTTGTTTTTACATTTGATAGTTTGCTATTATCCAAATTCAAAAATTGACTATTTATAAATTGTTTAATAATAAAAGGCTAAAAAAAAAGAAAAAAACCAAAAAGCGTTTATTATGTGTTCATCAGCTAACGCGGCAAAAAGTTAAATAAAATTAATCGTTTTCCAAAAACGTTCAAATGGAATTTATACGACCGTCGTTGGGAAAAATGTAACGTATTATTGCTTCTTTTTGTTGGCTGTCGTAGGCAAGAAAAAAAAATAATATCTCACACAACAAAGTAGTTTAGAAATCACATAAACGTTTACAACACACGCCAGATGTATTCACTTAGTTCGGTTTATTGCTTTGGTGTATTTTAAATATGTGCGTAAGTAAGTTT